GTGTCCTGAATTCATTCAAAGCATTTAAATTTTATGGTCATTTTGACTTGGCAAAGACCCACGAGGCACAGGGTGCCAGACTGCGTGAATAAGGTAGATGAGGACGCAGTGTACTGTGATAGCATAAAGCCTGCCTTTCCATCACCATAGTGTTTTTATCAGCCGCTTTTCTGCTCAGGGGCACTTGGTAGCAGCATTCACCATAGTTTTGTTGACACCTTGTAAAGATACTAACGATAGTCTACTTTCAGAACTGCTTTAGAAAGTGGATAAGAATGACGGATAAGTAGGTTTGAAGCAAGACAGAACGTTTTGAGAAGGATTAATGGTAATGCATTTTGTACTGTAATAATCTAAAAAATTTACACACTTTTTTGATCAGCTCTTATTGTAAGGAATCAGAGCAAATGAATTAATGTTCTACTTATTAAATCTACATGATGAGCGTTTTTTGTTTTTTATATGGTGTTCTGAAAATTTAGCAATAGTTTAATAAATGAATTCAATGTTCAATAAGATTTCACATGTCTGGTCATAGTTTTGTTCATAATATAGCTATGGAGTTGGTTGCTCAAGGTGAAGTTCCACTGAAGGTAGGAGGCAAAGAGAAAGTGCTTTGCAAAGAAATTGTGACTAAAGGGGGTTTATTTATAGTGGGTGAGGTATTCATGCCTCACATCATGTAAGTGAGATAAGGTCAATGGAAAAAAAGATTTAGGTTATAGAAAGTAAAATAGTAAGTGGGAAAAGTAGGGGTATCTTCCAACAATCTTTTGCTAAAATGCTATTTCATTGTTCAAGGCTTCTCCTCCAGTTTATGTACTTTGTGTACACTTGCTCTTCAACACATGGTGATCTCTAGTTTCTTAATATTTCTGTTGCATCTCAGGTAACCAGTCTCATTATGTCACTTTCATCCTCATGAAAAGGGATTATCCTACATCCTTATCCAAATAGTCCTCAAACCATGTGTCCATTCTTTTCCTTGCTCCTTCCAGAGTGGCCAGGGGATATTGGAGAAATTACATAAACTTGGCACTAAAATCTATGATGCTCAATTCTTTTTAGACCTTTAGAAGTCTTTGACAAGCCTCTCCATTTTCTATGGAAACCTGTTATGGTTGATACATTGTGTCAACTTGGGGAGTCTAGAGGTTTGGCTCAGTGACTCAGCAGGAAGCCAGGGTGCTTACTTTGTATACATCCTGAGCCTGTGGAAGAGGAGCGCATGGACATTATGTGAGAGTTACACACCCCTTAGGTGGGGGTAGCCTGTTTACAAGGTAAGGCAGGGAAAGAAGCTGCTTGCCGCCATTTCCCCCTTTGCTCTTGTTGCTTTGCTATCTTCTGCCTTGGAGCCAGCCAAGTATGGACTGAAACCTCTACAAACTGTAAGCTAAATTAACCTTTCCTTCCTTCATTTTGGGCGTTGGGTATTTTGTCTCAGCAATGAGAGAGAAGTAACTAAGACAAAGTCCATCCAACTTTTGTCACTGTCCTCCAGCTCACCTACAGGAATATTGTGCAGAAGGCTCAGATGCCGATTCACTCTTCCCTAAGTTGAACTTGAAGGAATATGTTGTGCAAAAATATTCCTCAGTGTTTTTGCAGTATATCGTCTCCACATACATAACTCTATCCTTTTTCTTTTTGCCAAGGACTCACAAAAATGTACATTGATCTCGTCTGCTTACATGCTTATTCTTTTCTATTTTCTCAGCTATTTCACTCCTTCCATTTCTTCAGCTCCTGTATTTCTTCTCTCTAGTATCTACTTCAACCCCAGCTCTTTCCCATTAACCAGCAAACATATTATAAACTATTTATTCATTCAATTAATTGACTCCAATCTTGTAACCCTGTCTAGCAACTACTGTTTGCCTCATCTCAATTCTCTTGTTTGAAGCAGACTTGTTTGTATAGATGTTTGTTTAGTGGATTAAAGAAATATGTTTGTAATATGTAGATATGGGGTGGAGTGGAGCCCCAGTTTCTGACCCTTGGAATGGATGTGGAACAAAGAGTTGTCCTGGATGGGTCCTAATGTCAAGGAATTTCTTTCCCCCTTCAATGCAAATTGCATTAAAATCACTCCCTCTCTACCCATCAGTTAATACAAAGAGTCCAAGTTCCTTATCCTAGAGGAAATATCAACGTCAAAGAGATCAGACGCTGGAGAATAATGTAAGGGAAGCCTGTGTTCTATCCAGAGCAAGAGTACAGGAAAAGCCAGAGACTAAGAATAAATCACCCTGGCAAAGAAGTTTGGATTCTGTGTTGTGGAAGATTTAGTCCAATCCAAGGATTTTATACTTCCCTCATTTGACACCAAGAATTAGCAGTGTGGATGTGAGTTCCCTATCCCTTTCTGATAATAGAGATAGTCAGCATTTTATTTAATGTGAACACAGGCATTTGAGCATATACATTAAGTGCCAAATAAATGTGGGAAGATTTTGACTGAAAATTTGCTGCAAGGATAATGGCAGGTGATTAAAAAAAGAATTGAAGAATGAAAAAAAAAGTTGCACCAGAAAAGGAGAAATGGTTGGTGTAATCTGTGCAAAGAATTAAAGATGTGTGAGGTATTTAAGCACAGCAATGTCACAATGTAGATCCACAAGGTTGTTTCACTCTTGTTAAAGGGAGAGATGATTTCTGGAGAAACACTGGGGAAAAAGCTAAGAAGCCTCTCATAGCATGAGGGAGAGGAACTGAGAGGTGCAAAAATATGGATAATGAAGGGATCAGCTGAGTCTAAAATTCACTGGGCAAAACTTAGAGTCTACTTACCTGGTGCAATCTCTGTGAGGGTCAAAGGAGGGAATGGATATGATACAGTTGCCTGTGCCTTATCGCTTGGTGTTACCGTCTCAAATACCTCTTCTCCAGTGTCCACAGCCTGTCAGCTGGGGCACAAGATCAGATGTTTTCCCAAAAAGGTTCTAGCTTCATAGTTTTCACTCTTCTTTCATAAGTGGAAGGTTTGCAGGGATCCGGTCTAGCACTTGCTTGCATTTCTTTCACAGGTGAGGTGTGCTGGAGGGTGGCATCCTGGTCCTGTGTGGCAGAGGTGGAGAAGACAGGACCTGCGTGGTTTGCAGAGTGGAGCCCCAGTTTCTGACCCTTGGAATGGATGTGGGACAGAGTTGTCCTCGATGGGTCCTAATGTCAAGGAGTTTCTTTCCCTCTTCAAGGAGGTGGGGTGGGTTTCAGCATAGAGAAGATGGGGAATTGGTCACCAGGTTATAAATTCTTCTGAAACAGGAGTCTCCCGGGTCTTCATTTAGGTCAAAGTCAGAGTAATTGTTGCAACCCATTGATGTTATCCTCTGTCTGTGCCCTGAGGGGAAGCAGTGACTCTGGAGGGTAATCTTCTCCAGAAGGGAGGGGAGATGACAAGGTTTCCTGGAGAGTGCTCTCTAGGGTCCTAACTCTTGAATGGCCTTTGTGTCCTCTGTAGGAATGTGATTTCCTCTCCCGTGCTGTTCACTATCAGCTTGAAACTGCTGGTTGGCAGCTGCAAGTACCATGGTAAAAGTGAGCTCCCAATATTTTTTTCAGGCCAGCTGAAGTCTTTCTGTTGTTCAGTGCAAAAGAAACAATCCTGGTTTATCTGTGATTTTAGTTGAGGAAGGTTAGGGTGTAAGCCATGCTTTCTTTAACCTAATAAGGTGATAGTAGGTCTTTAAATTTTCTTGATTGTTAGAGATGCAAGGGTCCTAGGTGTTCTTTCATCCACTTTATATATGTGTCAGCTTTATCTGATGATTTAGCACTTCTTGTGGCAGAGGAGTCACCACTCTCTGTGGGGACCAATGTTTAAGACTCATGTTCGTGCCTCGGCTGGTTCCCCACTTACTGAATCTTCCACATACTGATTGTAGCTGACCTTGGACCATTATTTAACATACTTATACATCACTAAAATGGGAATAATTATTATAATGCCCACAACATCCTCAGAAAGTTGCAAGGCTGGATTAATTAACAATGCAAAAACTTCTTCTAAAACAGTGCCTGGTGTATAGTTAACAGTAAATACTAACTTGATTTTCCTACTTCTTTAATAACTGTGTACTAGTACCCTTTGTACTAGTACTTGTACTTATTCATTACCTATTTTACTGCTAGTCATATAACATCTCTCCACAACTTCTGTCAGACTCTGCAACTGGTAGTTGTGAAAACTCTAAGGAACTCACGTCTGTCTGCTGGCTGCTTGAAGGCCAATATTCAGGTGATAAGATTTGGTGGGAAGGAACTGAGGACTATCTGAGAGTCAGCTCTGAGGTGATGGAGTGGTGTACTCCTCTCTGACACCATTTCGGGGAAGTCAGCTACTCAAAACATATTTTATGGAGAGGAAAATAAGTGCAAGGGACAATGGGCTGGCAGGGTACTGCCTAGTAGAGTCTTCATCATTCAAGGCCTGCATTTTTTTCTCTTCTGGGGGAATATCCTTGAAATAACTAACAACTTTCATCTTGTCAGATACTCCCTTTTTTCAACAAATTTACAACACTGGAAAAAAGGGGAATTTGGGGCAATTTGCAAGGCAGAGCTAATCTTTTTGGTTTCTCTGTCTCTCTCTCTGTCTTTGTGTCTCTTTTCTTGGTCTCTTCCCTTCCTTCCTTTATACCTTCTTTCCTTTCTACCTTCCTTCCTTTACTTTTTTCTTCTTTCCTTTGGCACTGGGGATAGAGCTGAGGGCCTCACATTTGCTAGGCAAGCGCTCTACCACTGAGCTGCAGGCATCCTCCCCCCTGTTCACTTGCTACTGTTGGTTGTTTTGAATCTTGGGTATATTGCCTATGGAACCCTTGGGCTTTCATCTCCACAGCTTGAATTGAATCTTTAAGTTCTTTACTCCTAGCATCTATAGTCTTTTCAGTGGATCTGTAGTCAGAATGGTCTGAAATAAAGTTATAAACTGAAATAAAGAAATAAAGTTAACAAGGGTCAAATCAGAATTTTTCTTGTTCTAAAACTCCCTACAGTGGTTTTCAAGATGGTGAAGTGGCAGCAAAATTCATCCTGAGATCCAGAATCCAAACATTAGAAAATAACAAATTTTGGAAGAAAAAAAGAGAAGTAAATCACCAGGAACTGTGAAAGAACTGACAGGAAAAAGCTGCAGAGCAGTTTGAAAGACAGATCACAAGGCAGGAAAGAAAACACAACACCATGGATTGTCTCCCTGGTTTCTGGCTCACTGCTTGTGGGGAAGGAATCCTGCTCTGCAGAAGTAAGGTGAGTGCTGGGGACTCCAGAGAGAAATGGTGGTAGTGGATTTGGCTGGTAGTGTAGGCTTCCAGTGGAGCCCATGGTATTTGTGATCTGAAAGGCCAGCAAGGGGTTTTACTCCACAGGAACTCTTTCCACATGGCAGGAAAACAGCCAGTAGGGATCAGAGCACAAGTGTCCACCATATTGCCTGGGAGTGCTTGGCTGGGCACCATTTTGTGAAGAGGGTGATTGTTTGAATCTAGGAGTATGAACAGTTGGGGTATGGCTTTACTATACTTCAGGATTCCTACAGTTACTCTCCTATAGTGCCTGGGTGAGATATCCACTGAGAGAGAATAGGCTGGAAAAAGACTCCCTGAGGAGTTCACACTTCTGCTGGGAAGGGCATAAGCCCCATCCTCTGTGCTGGGAGACCAGGCTCAGTTTGAGTTGTGCTGGGTCTGAAAGTGCTGGCAGTGAGTACTTGAGCTCTTGCCCTATTTACTGCCTTTGTTCAGTGTCACATGCATCTCTTGATGTTCCCAGGGAAAAATGGTGAGAGGATGGAGAAATAAAGACAAGAGACAAAGCCGGGGTTCAGGTGGAGCCCTCTCTCCAGATGGGAGAAAAGGAACTGTCCAAGAACTGTAGAGTATTTATTTATACACTCAGGAGGTTGATGTCAATTTCAACCTCTCTGCCTAGAGAGTTTGCAACTAGTTTGCAAGCTGGAACAGCTCGTTTACATATCTGGAGGAGCTCCCGGTGATCTCTGCCAGCTTTGTCTTAGCTCCACATGTGTGATTGATTTCCAGCTTCACCTGCTCCCTAGAGCACAGATCTGGTTCTGACTGCCTTCCTCATCCATGTGAGTGAGGACATGTCTCGGTGTGGGCATTGCCACAACACACAGTGAACAGACAGCCCTCTGGAATGGGTAGGAGGCACCTCATAAACCCACATGCTGTAAGGCTGGGTGAAGGAAACTGAGAATTTCTAGACCCCAAAATTGTGGTTTCAGGAAGAAAATCACTCATTCAAAAATACAGAGAAAAAATTTTTTTTCCTGTGTTTTGACTTTTTTTCTTTCCTATTTCTTCTTCATTGATTTGTTGGAATTGGGGAATTTTCCTTTACCCTACTTCCTTATTTATCTTTTCCCCCCTCTTTTTCCTTTTAATTTTTTCTTTTAATATTTTTATTATTCTCCATATTATTTTTTATTCTTCTTTCCTCCCTTGTTTCTTTTAGCTTCTATTTTTCTTATTTTGTTATCTTTAGCTAATTATATCAGTATCCTTCCACTCTCTAATAGGCTCTTTTGTATCACTTCTCTCTTCTCCTTCTCATCTCCCATTGTGTAATTTTTCAGACTTTGCTTTTGCATTCTGCCATTCCCCACCCCTGGAACCTCTAATTGTATAACCATTATGCTTCTCTAAGTTTTAGATAATTCACGCAATGTTATTAACTGTCTGTCTTTTTCTTTCACTGCTGAGACAAAAACCCAGCACCAAAATTAAGGAAGGAAAGATTTGTTTAGCCACAGTTCATGAAGGTTTCAGTCTATAACCAGCTGGCTCCAAGGCAGGGTGACATGGCACAGGGGCAATAGTTCAAGGCAGCAAAAGACAGCAAAAGCAGAGTGGAGGACCACCTTGGCGACTCTCCTTGAAAGAGGAGAAATTGTCTCCATTTTAGCTGAGCCTGACCCTATTTCCATGTATTGATGTGTACAGAGCTGGCGAGGACCCTTTCTTTATCCCTTCAATCGGCTGTAAGCAGTGCATATTTGTCTAGCCAAGGTGCTGATGGTAGTCTTTGAAGACAGCAGACATGTTTCCCCAGAACCTCCGTTATTCCCCCATGAGCCAGGATGATGTGGAATGTTGAGCCAGTGCTCCACGTGGATTTCCTGGGGCTTGAAACTTTACACATCAGAGCTGAAGCACTGATCCCAAAACATTAGATACTATCTCATTTGTATTATGCAGATTACTCTTTTTGCATATCCTTCTCTCCGCATTTGCAGAGGTGATTTCAGGCCTCCTACCTATCCCGGCTCAGGGCGTTCACCTACTTCCCACCATTCTCACAGTCTCTCATCCTCAAGCCACTCCCTTCTTCATAAATGAATAGATCCCAGGTTCAGCTTTGGGTCAAGGCCTTTGATCTGGATGGCCATCATTGTGGCTGGACTTAGGACCCCTTGGCTTCCCATAACTTCAAATATGCCTTTCTGTCTTTATTCTTGCCATGGGTTGCGGTGGAAGTGGTGGATTGGTATTAACCCACTAGGATCCCAATAATTTTTCATGAGATTACACATATAAACTTCCTGGGCCATGATGATGTCTTACTGAGAAGGGCTGTCTATAAAGCAGCAAGAGCAAAAGGGGAGAGCAAGCCTCTTTTCCTCCCTTATATTGTAAGGAAGCTATGTGCCCTCGAGTGGGTGTAGCACTCACACCATTGTGCCCTTCCCTTGCACAGGCTCAGAATACTTACATATGTACATTTCTGATCTGATGTCTTCTATGGCCTGATGGAGTTGTTTCTTTACTTTAGTTGCTATCATTTCAGAGATTTGAGGTGTATGACTTCCAGGCTCTTCTGTGTTGATGTCTCCTGGATTTGTTCTGGATGGGGTAGAGGTCTGAGATTGCATTTTGCTCCTTTGTTTTGTCATTTTTGAAGATCCAGAGGTTTCCTGGAGCTCAGCCTCACTCCCACGATGGTGTGGGAGTGGCAGGGCAGGAATCCAAAGGTCCTCAGTTCTCAGCGTGGCTCCTGTGCTGGTGTGTGGGGGCAAGGTGGGGTTGTAGATGCTCCTGAAAGTTTCTGGCATTCAGTTGGCTCCCATGTTGGTGGGAAAGGGGCAGGGGAGGCTCACTGGAGTTCCTGAAGCTGCCTGGGGTTCAGCCTGGCTTCCACAAGGGTAGGGGGGTGCAGGTTGTGGTCACTGAGGCTTCATATGTTGCCCAGGACCCAGCCTGATTCCCACACAGTATGGGAGGGGTGAGGGTAGAGTCCTCAAGGCCACTGAGTCTGTCTGGGGGTCAGCTTGGCTCCCATGGGGGTGCAGGTGGTGATGGAAGTGGCCACTGAGGCTCCAGAAGGTGTCCAGGGCTCCACCTGCCTCACACGCTGGTTGGGGAGGCTCAGGGCCAGCTCATCAGGGTTCCTGAAGATGTCCAGGGTTCAGCCCAGCTCCCGCGGGTATGTGACAGTGCAGGAAGTGGCCATTGAGGCCCCAGAAGGTGTCCGGGGCTCCACCTGCCTTACATACGGGTCGGGGAGGCACAGGGGCAGCTCACTGAGGTTCCTGAAGATGTACAGGGTTCAGCTCCTGTATATTTCAATTTAAAAAATATATTTATGCTAACAAATACCTGTTTATATGAATTTTATAAAGCTTCATTTGAAGATGGGTTCTACTCCTAAAAATAAATGATATAAACCACTGCCAGATGAAAATGATCATGCCATACTAGAAGGTTTAGCTTTAAAGGAGACTCACGTCACATTGTTTCCAGCAGGGCTCTGTAAATTATGGCTAATGGAACCAAACTAAATGTTCAAGGGGAGAGATTATCAAATTATAGTGCACCACTTTGGCAAATGGAATGCAAGTCCTGTATTGGAAAATGCTGTAGCATATTAGTTTTTAAACTCAGTTGCCCCTTGGAGCTGTGTGGGGAGTTTTTAAAAAATCCCCAAACCCAGCCCCATCCCAGATCAATTAAATTCACTCCAGAGTGGGCATCAATAGTTGGCATCAGAGGCATCAGTGTCACTATTGTAGATGAATTTTCAATGACTCACACTCATAGATAATCTGCTTTTTTTTCCACTTATATAATATACAGTGATCATCTGTGTATGTCACTGAAAAATTTGACTTCTTTTTGTTAAATTTCTACACACAGAAATACATGGCATAGGGTATTGTTTGATGTAGATGGGGGTTGCCCTGTGATGGAGTTTTACAATCAGAGGTGGGTGGTTGCGGGCCAGTCCAAGAGGAGAGTCTTTAGCCCAAACTTGGGGAAAGAGAGTCTTAAGTACTTCTGGGTTGGTTCTCTCTCTCTCTCTCTCTCTCTCTCTCTCTCTCTCTCTCTCTCTCTCTCTCTCTCTCTCTCTTTCTCTCTCTGTCTATCTCTAGTGGGACCATGATGGCAAGCAGGAAATATGGTTGTGGAGCTGGAAGGAACAGAGAAACAGACTGTCCCAGGGAGAAGGTGATGGTGGCCCCTAACTTGGATAGGCTGTCTCTCCACAGGAGTGGGATTGGGATTCCAGCAAATAGAAGAGCTCATGTGTGATTTCATGTCCTCCAAGGCTGCAAGTTTGTGCCTGGCAGAAGGGGAGAGGCAGGAGTACCAGTTGTCCCAATGATGATAACTTGTTTTCTGACAGAGGAGCAATAGGCTGGTTAATTACAGAGTGTTTTGCTCCACTGTTGAAAGGAAAGTCATAGGTTGGCCCCCATGCGGATGTGGACTGTGGGCTTTCAGGGGCCCAGCTGAAGAAGGGAGCTAGGTCTGGCCTAGTCTGAGCCTATCAGACCAATGAAAGTATTGTCATCTGATCCAGGTTGGGGTTTTTGAGCATCTTTATCTCTTTGTTTGAATGGGCATTTCTTCTTCCAGTATCCATAACCTTTATATCTTGAATATTGATCTTTGGCCAGAGGGCATGGTCGGCTACCAGACTGGAAGGAGTTGAAGTGGTAGGGTAGGAGAAATGGCTGAGGTTGGGGGCCTCATCTGGAGATAGTCAATGGGTTTCAAGGCTGCAGTTGGGGAGGAACTTGTCTGCCAAAAGCCACAGCTTGGCAGTGTGGTGTGTGGACTCAGCAGAGCACTGGCCAGGCACAGGCAGCAGACAGGAGATTCAGAACCAAATTTAGCCAGTAGTCAATGTGGGGAAATTGGTCTGGATGGTCTTCTGTCCCTGCCTCCATCACTGTGTCCCAGACGCAGCTGATTTCTCTTTTAGCTAATGTCTCTCAGGGGGCCAAGTTGGACTGAGTCTCAGCCAGCTGATTTCACAGAGATCTTGGAGCTGGTTTGGCTTTATTTTAACTCCATAGTCTCCAGAAAAGCCCTTTTAAAAATTCTTTAGGCTACATTCCAGAACTGTAGGTTTTGACTGATTAGATCCCATTCTGGCTTTCTACGTGTATGTGGTGTTTCCTTGTTTGGAGATGTAACAGACAAAGGTGGGGTGCCCTCTTTGATAGAGAACCAGGCAGATGCTGCCTGGCTGCTTCCCTCTTGGTGATGAAGGTCTGTTTTGGCAATATGTGCAGCTCGGATCCCAGGTCAGGTCAGTGATCCCATTACAGAGATGTGAGTTGTTTTTGAGTCATACTGCAGACTACATACTCACAGGATAAGCCCACTTGAACTCCATAGCTGAAGCTGTAGAACTACACAAAAGAACGTCCAAAGCAGCTGGATTTGGCAAGGGTGGCATACATTCACTCACACATTCATTTAGAGGTTAAAACACTCCACCTTTCACCTGGAAAACAGAAACTAACTAGGAAGTGATCAAGCTCCTCTTTTGTCTACTGGGACAGGTCTAACTACCAGAAGAACTCAGGGTGGCCTTACCATGATTCAGAATTCCTGACGGTTTTGTTTCAGTCTCTTTTAGAGCTGACAATGCAGGTGGGATACCCTACCCACTTGGCATCCCAGAGGCTGCAGAGGAGACCTCTAAACAAAGAGGGGCTTGCCTACTGTCAGAATGCTGCTGGGATATGGAGCGGGGGAGACCTGCCTCCACGACCACAGCAAGGACCATGTAGGGCTATAGCTGTCTTCTCTTGTTTCCCAGCCCAATACACCAGAAACTGTTGTGGGAAAGTTGAATCAACAGTAGCCAGGAGCTCAGAAGAAGAAAGAAATGCTGGTGGACCCCAGAGGAGTAGTTTCCAAAGTCTGAGGTGCTGATTACAGAAAGTTTGTCTTTTTTATAGGGTGGCAAGTGGGAGTTACAAAACACTAAGATAAGCATAGCTGAGGGCCATGGTACAATGGGTATCTTGTGGTGAGCACAGCTGTATGTAGCAAAGTTGTTCTTAGTACATTGACAGAAGTTTCCGTGTGACAACAAATCATAGGATTTAGCTGAGTTCAGTGGCAGAGAACAGAATGGCTGCAGCTTTATTGGACAAAGTGGCTGCAGTTAGGTCAGGATTTCTGCTTTAAGGTCACCGTTCCAAAGAAAGTTAATCTAATTACAATAGGTAGATGCCAGTTCAAGTGATAGAAACCCAGTTCAAATTTGTTCGTGCAAGAAGCGACATTTATTGAGTTTGAAATTGCAGGTTATATTTAGGTCCTGAAAGGGCTGGATTTGGGACTAGACTCAGACACAGACTGCTTCCTTTCCATGGAAGCCTCATCTCTCACATGAGCTATATCCATACAAATTTAAACTGCTAGCTCTGGCCTGTACCCATGGGCCTCCTGTGAGAAGTTGTGCTGCCCCAAAGGGATCCAATTCAAATTCTAGCACTGGGGCGCAAACATCCTGTTGCCTGAGGACAAGATCCTGTGACCAGCAACCCCCACCAACATTGGGTGGGAGAAGTTCTCCAAAGATGGTCTCATTCCCAGAAGGGAAGGGAGTTTGCAGTCTGAACCCTGTACTTCCAAGAGATCTCCCTCATATTTGTCTTTTCATATTCCAAACCCGCCTGCCATTTCTCCCTGAAGCTTGGCCAGTTTCCAGGCTTCAAACCAGTGTATTAGAGTGATGATGTCACAAAGCCAGGGTTCCAGAAGGCCGGGGTAGCCCAGCACTCTAGCCTTCTTTAGAATAAGAGGAGCCATTAGTTGGGCACAGCTGGAGTGAGTGGTGAAGAGGGGGAGGTCCCTGCCTCAAACCGCTTTGTTCTACAGATCCTCAAGAAAGTCCTGGGCTGACTGGGATCTGGGCCCAAAGAGGGATGGGAGAAAGGTAAGCTTCCAAGGGGCCTGGGGACACAGGCACTAGCACCACTGTCTTCCCCAAGAGGATCCCCAGAGGGTCTTAAATGGGCAGAGTTGGAGCACCTGGCTTCCCGAGGCTCAGAGACATCAACTCTGAGGGAACCTGCTGAGACCAAGCAGTATAGTTGTGTGTGCAATACACACTAAACAGTCATTTGTTGTTGCCTGAAATTCTAAACAGGTACAGTCATTTTATTTGCTAAATCTGACAACCTTAGGATGGAGGGCAGTGAGAACACAAAAGAATGTCCCCAAGCTCAGGCTGGTGTGGAATGAAAAGACAGAAGTGCGCAGACAGGAAGCCAGCCCACCAAAGAGGCCATCTTGTCATGCTTCAGCTGCCGGGCACCCAGGGGCAGGGTGGAGGACTCTGGGCCTTTGCCCTCAGCAACACCTCTGTTTAAGGGGAAAGACAGCCACCTCTGTGACAAAAGTAGCCCCAGGTTTTTTCACTGTATTGACCATTTTGAAGAATACAGGCCAGTTACTTGGGAGATTGTCCCACCAGTTTGGTTTTGCTTCCTCAGGTTAGAGCCAGAGTATTATCCTTGGCCAGAAGAGTACATAAGAGGTATTATGTCCTTCTCAGGGCATCATACCTGGAAGCACAATGTCCCCGTGTACTCACCGATGAAGTGAATTTTGACTGCACAGTCAAAACCCTGTCTGGCTCCTCCACTATATAATTACTATTTTCCCTGGGCAACAGCTAAGAGACCTGTAGGGAGACTCTGAGAACACGTACATGTCCAGGTCTTCCTCCTTCCTGCCTCTTGAAGTTTAGCACCCACTGACGATTCTTGTTCAGACCAATCTATAATGACTGCAAAATGTGAATGGTACAGTGTTTCGTTCTGGGGAAATTTGGGTTTACTTGGGGAAAGTGTTTTAAAATTCACTGTGGTGATAGTTGTACAACTCAGCAAAGATTTTGTTTGTACATTTTAAATGAACCAATATATGTTGTGCCTAATATCTCAATAAAGCTGCTACAAAAATATTGTTCCAGATTTGGTCAGCTGATATCCTTTTGATGTAGTTCTTATGTTGATTTGACTGCCCCAATCCATATTTTGAGCATTTCCTTAATTTATGGTTCAGGAAGATAATCTAGAATTATCTATAAGATAATCCCTTTCCTGCTCTTGCTGAAGGACTTGCCGTATTCCAGGAAGTCCCAGTTCCATTGTGTGGGGAATGTGAAACCAAAATGTGAGCATTTATTATTTTATATAATCATCCTGTCATTCCTATTATGTAGGTATTAGTATATTTCACTTTATAGATGAGGCCCAGCAAGGTTAAATGTGTTGCCTAGTCACACAATGCTCTAGCCTTTGAAAGCAGACAATGTGAATCCAAAGCCCTGATTTTCACCACACACACACACATACACACATACACAACACACTCATAAAATGAAGGTTATTCCTACACCAAACCATTGTCACTTGCTTTCTGATATATACTTTTGAGTAGAAGCAAAAAGGTAGGACCTATAATAATCAGCCCATCAGGAACTGCATGAAGCAGAGTAGCCCCTCAGGGAAAGTTGTGTGCCTAGAGTCTGGAGGTGTGGGGTTGGGGATCAGCACCCAATGACCTGGCTCTTTTTCTGGAAGCACATGTTCAAATGTGCATGTAGACATGTTGGTGAAGCATGGCTTTCGTCAGTCTCTTTTGCCAAACTCATTCTCCACCATAACCCAATGCCACTCTCCACTGGTGTCCATTGCAAGTGGATCTGCAGATGAAACCAGATTGGCCTTGGCTTTTAACTATTGAAACTGGAAAATGGGTATATAAAAAAAGATTTACTTTTCTTTGGTAAATGTTTAAACTTTTCTGTGATAAAATATTCTAAAATAATAAGAGGAAAGAGATTAAAAGTTGGTGATGAGCAGTGAGTAAGTGAAGAAAAATATTTGTCTGCCCTCTCCTGATTCTCCAGGCTCTCCAGGAAGACCAGCAGAAGCCTGTGAGACCAGAGCAGTGGGCCCTGCTGGGGACCTTATCCCCTCTGAGGATGGCCCGGGTATGGCTCATTTCCTTGGCCAGCTGCCTCCTTGTTGTAAATCAGGCTTTCATCATCAAACGCTGTGACTTGGCCAAGATCCTGCATGAGGAGCAGTTGGATGGATTTGAGGGCTACTCCCTGAGTGACTGTGAGTGCCATGTCTTTGGCCCCTCCCCTTCTCCTCCTCTCCTATGCATGCCTAGGAGCCACCTTCCTTTTCTCCCATCATTCTTTAAAGACAAGTTCAAAAAAGCACACCCCGCAAGATGTCTTCCCCAACACTCCTACTCATTGGATAATTATCTACCAAGAACTGTTTATAGCTCTAAAGGCAAAGTTCCTCCTTTCATAGTGTTCACATCCTAGGGTAACACACACACACACACACACACACACACACACACAGAGTACTGCTGGGGCTGATAAATGCTTGACAAAGAATAAAGCAGAGGTAATTACACTGTTCTTGATGGAAAAGCCACATTAAACAGCACTGCATGAAAGGAGATATCCAGTCATCCAAATGTCTGTGGGAACAACATTTGGGGCAGAGGAATAGTCAGTACAAAGACTTCCTATTCCCAAGTGGTAGAGATTATTTCTTTCTTGCGTGGAATTTGGGCACAGTTATCTTGTGACACTTTCTGCTTGTATCCTTCACTGTGGTTTTTTTAAGGTACCTATTGTAATTCTTGCACTTTAGGCCCATTGAAAGCAACATCTGTGTTTGACCCAGATGTTGCTGGGCTTTGCATAATTCCTGGCACACAGTAGGTGCTCAGTAAGTACAGAAAGCATGAAAGGAAGGATCCTGTATTGATGGATGGACCAAAGGATGGGAGGAGATGCCATGGGTGTTTCTAGCTCTCCAGCCTCGTCTGGCCATCAGGCCATGTTCCTTTCTTCTCCTTTTCTCCCTTTCTGCTATTTTCCTTCCCACTCAGCTTGATCCTCTCTAAATCATGACCCTCCTCTTCCTATTCTAAGGGTTGTGCCTGGCTTTTGTGGAAAGCAACTTCAACATATCCAAGGTAAATGAAAATGCAGATGGCAGCTTTGACTACGGAATCTTCCAGATCAACAGCCACTATTGGTGCAACGATTACCAGAGTCACTCGGAAAACTATTGCCACATGGACTGTCAAGGTCTGGCCAGGGCCCCAGGGTGGGAGAGGTGAGAGAGGAGACAAGATCTACTCACAGACCTCTCTGCCTACCCACAACCAGGGCATGTGGAGAGGGATACTTCAGAGAATCAGGGGCTCCTTTACTGAGCAGAGGCTTAGCCAGGTGGTCCCCATTCCCAGGCAGGCAGGAAGTTCTGCAGATACCTTGAGCCTGAGGGTTCAGAAGGGCTCTGAGCAGCCAGGAGTAGTAAAGCAGCTACAGCAGCCAGTTGGTGGAGAGCATATTCTATATTAGCCACTTCACAATCAGAGCTCATTTCATCCCAGTTTCTGTGCAACAGAAACTTTGCAACCTCTGTTGTATAAATAAGCAAACTGAGACGAGGTGCTAAATGCCACTCAGGACGTTGAAAGCTCAGTTCTAACCACTGAGTACTACTTAGGCTAATGGTCTGACCAAAGTCCAAGTGTAGTCTCCTCACTTCAGAGCTGATCCAAGAGGCTTGACAGGGCCTATGACTCTGCCCTTCATCTCCTCCTTTCTTCTCTGGCTAATGTCCCTGGACTTTTGGCCTGAAAATCCCTCTCCAAGGCAGGCCTTTATCTTGGCCTCTGGGATGCCTGCTTTGGCATTTCCTCTCCCTAGAAACACTATAAACTTTGGGTGGACCACCCTCTACCCTGGCTAGGAAGAAAAGTATGGACAGGCCCAAATCTTAGTCCCTCTGCCCCTCTTGCTCCAACCCCCATCCCCTTAGAGCCAGCAGTCATTGTAGGTTATCTCACTGCACTTGGGAGTGAGGCTTTTCTGACCTGGAAAATGCTGAGTGAGGGCTGAGCAGCAGGTCCTGTGCAAGAAGGCCTGGAGTTGGCCTCTGTTTCTGGAGTAATCCTCTGTGTTCTCATGGGTGTTCTTTTCCTCCCTTCCAGATGTGCTGAGGCCCAACCTTCTCGCCTCCATCAGCTGCGCTAAGATGATTATGTCTGGATCAGGGGGGATGAAGAACTGGTGAGGGTGATACACTGGGACCCAGTTAGTTGGCAGATCTCCAAGAAGCAATATATGACAGAGAAGGGCAGTAGGAAGGGCATCCTGGGCACTCACTTGTAGCAGTCTAGAAAAATGTAGATGAGCTTTGGACTCAGAGTTAGAAAACCTAGGTTTGGTTCTTTCTCTGATATTGTATTAAATCAAACCCTTTTGGCTGCAGTAACAGAAAGCCATTTGGGCTAGCCAAGGGGAATTTATTCTGAGAGGAGGTGGTATCTCACCGAGCCCACTGGGCTGAGCTTCAGGGATGGAACTGAACAGAACCAATGTGGGAAACTCAGAAGCTTCCCAGAGCAGGTCTCTGCTTCTGTTGGTGCTTCCTCTGCCTGCAGTCCATAAACTATAGGTGCCTAAGTTTATGAGCAAAGCAACCCTAGGGTCTGGCTAGGCTCAGTCCTAGTGTGAGGCTGTGGGACAAAGGATCTGATCTGTTCAGCTTGGACCATGTGTTTCCTCTTAGCCCAAGCAGCTGTAGCATGGGAAGAGTTAAATACAAACAGGATTACAGCAGGGGCCCTTTCCCTGTAAATGGCAATGTTTTCTATTAAAAGTGTGGTGCTCATCAGCTGAGCAGACACCCTCAAAACTTTCAATTCTTCAGCAATGAACATTCAGATGGTCACTTACCTTTTCCATATATATTTACAAACTAGGGCTATAAATAATATCCACAAGTGCCTCTGCACGTGACTGAGCATAGAAGGAGTTGGGAGCTCTGCAGATTCAAAACACTATACAGGAAGGGCCGTTGATAATTGTTAAGTCTTAGCCTTTTGCAAGAGTGTCTGTGACTGCACCTGGGATTTTTAAAAAGTAACTCTCAGTCCTTATAAAACAGTCTGCCTACCGAGAGAGGGAGAGAGGGAGGGAGGGAGAGAGATATGCAGATTTGAAAATGTGAATGCTTACGGAAGAGAGCAAGTAACAGACATGAGGGAAATCTGAAGGACCCAGAAGAAGACAGTAATGAAGGCGGTGTGGACATTCCTCTGCAGGGAGACTCACCAGGACTGGGTGAAGTGTGTGAAGACACTACTATGTGACAACAAGAGCCATGTCTTTTTCCTCCACAGGGTGAGATGGAGGATGCACTGTGCAGACCGGCCACTCTCCTACTGGATGACAGGCTGCCGTCTGGGATGAAGCAGGTTACAGGGCCACTGGGACTCATCCAGAACCCGTGTCCTCATTTGGGGATTCTTTTCTTCCTCTTGCTTCTTCCACTTGGCGTTACTTTCTTTCCCTTCTCATTCACAAGTAGAACTGACTAGAGTCCCAGGGACAGATGCCTTTCTTAGGCTTTCTCCTTGTACCCATACAGGCCCTATGCTCTTGTTCCTGTCATTTACAACCAAGAGGATCACAATAAATATCTATTATTTTTATTTATTAAAGCACTCCTTGGGCAAAGAATATGTTAATGTATTCATTATTAGTGTGATGTACGTTTGGGTACTCACTGTAGTAGGAGTGTGTTAGGTATTACAAGAAGGAAGACAAAACATAGCAATTTTCTTTAGGTGTTCATAATTGAGGCAAACAAGCAGAGATATCCACAAACATCACAATGCATAAAATAGAATCTATGGTCATTGGTTTGAAACAATATCAAGAACTGAGTAATTTTCCCAAAGATGATGATTTTTGAAGTGAAAGAGAAAGCTCAAAAGTAGTTCATGGGTATGGCTACAGGTCTGGTACTGAGCGGTACCAAGGTAGGGAAAGTAGGATGGGATAGAGAAATGCTGCCCCGGTGCCATTCATTTTGGGTTACTCTGAGGAGATGGGCTAGAATCTAGGTGCTCAAAAGCTTCTCTGGAAAAGATTCTCTGCCTAGAAAGTGCTGATGTGGAGTAGAACCACTTAAAATCAAGGCAAAGGCCAAAAAGGGAGGGATATCCTGTACTTAGCCACCGTCAACAGTGTTTGACCAAACTGACGTATTGTCCTGGGCCATGTATGCCTGCATCTTAGACCTTAACTACTTCAGTTGTAAGAATTTTGACTAACTGGTGGTTTCCAGACTTTAGGATTTCACAGGCTGGTACCATGTCAAAAAAATTAAAACCGAAGATAGCCAGCTTTTAATTTTAATGTTTCATAAAGAGTATTTGAAATAAGCATTCTCTATTTTAGCATCTCTTCACAAAACATTTTTTGAGAGAAGACAATGCTTTTCTAATTCACAACATGAAGTTGACCTGAAATAGTAGAACTGAACCAGGACAAATAATGCTGTCATAAAATTTACATTTCTCACATCTGTTTCAGAGGAACATACTATGTCTTAGGGCTCTCCTTGGTGTCACAGACTGCTTTAAGTAAAATCATTTAAAAATAATAGATAGCAATATATATATTTTCAAACTATGCTGTGATATAGTTAGAAAGGCAACTAACTATAATATCTGTGATGATAACAATGGCAGGATTAAGATATTGGTTAAACATTAAGAACCACATTTCCATTATAGCTGTTATATGAAGTGTATCTTTTTTTTTTTTTTTTTTTTCTGGTACTGGGAATTGAACTCATGACCTTCAGCTTACCAGGCAGGTGCTGTGCTGCTGAGCTAAATCCCCAGCCCCTATCTTTTAAACTGATAAGGCATGTGTTTGCTGTGGCTGCTACATCACTAGCAAGTTTCTTCTTGAGTAACAGATACTTCATTGGTCAGGACTCAAGTTAAGTTTTCTTCCCCAACTTTGCTCTTTTGGAGGAGAAAGAAACATGTCTGTCTTTTGTATACAGGGAGAGTTATGAAATGAAGCTATTGTAAGCTTTTAACTCACAATTTCACGGGGGAATGAATTAATATTAGGAATACTTCTGAAGTACTTCCAACTTTTAAAATAATACAGCTTCTGAATAATTTCTCAAAACTAGCTTTCAGTTTTGGTATATGATGCTAAACAACATAATTGATCTGTATTTTGGCAAGTTTTTCTGTTAACTACGCTTTGCCCTCAATAAAAGATAAAGTTATAATCTCAAATAATTTCTGGATATAAAGCATCTTGAAATGTTTTATTTTTCACTGCACACATATATTTGTATGTATAAGCAAGTTACTTTTACTATGAGATAAAACTAGACACTAGAGGCAGCCTGATCTTTTTTAGAAATCCTCCTCTATGTTGAGGCAGGCAGTTACAGTTCACTGCAGAATATGACGAGGCTGTAGTAAATTTTCTTAATGTCTGTTGACCTCACACTGGCAGCTCTGACCACTGCAGCTCCATGCTCATCCATTTCCTCCTCAGCACTGGCCTCTAAAGTCCTCTGTCAGAAACAAGATGTTGATTGAGTAGCCAATTCTATTTTCAGTCTTTTCAATAACTCTTTCTCTTCATTTTGGGTCTAGTCTTGGTATCACAGTGACCATCAATAAGCTCAAGAATGTTTTCCTCTGTAGAATAGCCAAGTAATAATTTCTGCGCCTCTACATTCCCTGAAAAGTAGATGTATATGTTCATTCTGGCTTCTCTCCACTTTCCGACTGTGGTAACTACATATGCAAAGAATGCTGCTCTCACGCGCCTGTCTGTGAATGCTGCCCTCCACAGGTGCCCCTGTCCCATGTTGAAGTGGAAAATGGAGGTTTGATACACAGGGAGGACACTGAAACAAACCAGTCCATTAGGTGCAAGGGAAAGCAAAGAGAAGAAAGGGAGAAAATGAGAGAGCTAAGTGTGTCTTGTCTGTCTCAATTAGTCATGGAGAACAAGATCCTTGGTCTTCTGATCTTACCTTTGACTGACTGTGACTTTTATCAAGGAAGAGCCTGGGTCTTTACTCCTCTTCTATCTTCCCACATGACTGGACTTAATGGTACTTGGTGCTGTATTATTACAACATGGTTCTTTTTTTGAAAATGGCATATAATGCACACACCCTAAAAGTTCAACGGTACAGATCACAATTTGGTGATGTTTAATGTATTCACAAGTTTATACAACATTCTCCATTTTCTAATTCCGGAGCATTTTCATCACTACTAAAAAGTCTTAGTCACCCATCCTCCCTTTCGTCTCCCCCGAGTTCCAAGCAGCAATCTATTTTTTGCCCCTATGGATTTGCCTATTATGGGTATTTCATATAAATGAACAATGTTGTATGTGGCTTTTGGTGTCTGGTTTCTTTCACATAACATAGTGTGCTCAAAGTTTATCTCTGTGTTAGTTTGTATCTTTCTAGTAATATCTTTCTGAATAATATCCCGTTGTATAGATGTATCACTAGATCAGTTTATCTCTCTCTCTCTCTTTTTTTTTTTTTTTTTTTTTTGTCTTTTTGAGGCAGGGTCTCACTATGTAGTTCAGGCTGGCCTTGAGCTGACTTTGTAGCCCAGGCTAGTCTTGAACTTGCAATGATCCTCCTGCCTCAGCCTCCTGAGTGCTGGGATTACAGGGTTGCACCACCACACCCAGCATCAGTTTATCTGTTTATTAATGGCATTTGGGTTGTTTCTACTTTTTGACTCTTATGAATAATGTTGCTACAAACACTCATGTGCAAGGATTTGTGTAAATACATAATTTAGTTCTTGGATGTATACCTAGGAATGGCATTGCTGGGTTTTATGTGACTGTTCAACTTTTTGAGAAACTCTCAACCTATTTTCCACAGTGGCTGCCAACATTTTACATTCCTATATGCAATGTATGAGAGCTCCAATTTCTTCATATCTTTTTTAACACATTATTGTCTGTCTTTTTATTATATCCATGCTAGAGAGTGTAAATATGTTTTTCATTGTGGTTTTGATTTACATTTCTCTAAAGAATTAAGACATTGAGTATGTTTTCATGAGCATACTGGCCATTTGTAGATCTTTGAATAAATGTTTGGTCATATCTTTCCCTAGTATAAAATGTTATTTGTCTTTTTACTTAGTTGTGAGAGTTCTTTATATATTCTGGACTTTTTATATTAGTCTTTGATTAGACATATAATTTATAAATATTATCTTTCATTCTATGAATACATTTTCACTTTCTTAATAGTGTCCTTTAAAGCACAAAAGTACAAATGTTTTCTGTTTTTGTTTTGTGACAAGTTCTTGCTATGCAGCTCAGGTTGGCCTCAAGCTCACAATACAGTCCAGGGTGGCCTTGAACTCACTGCCTCAGCCTTTTGAATGCTGGGATTGTAGGTACAAATCACCATGCCAAACCAGTTTTAAATTTTGATATAGTCTAATTTACCTATGTTTCCTGTGGCTATTTATACTCTTGGTGTCCTATTTTAGAAACTGTTGCCTAAAACAAGGTCATTAGCACTTACACGGTTTCTTCTGAGTTCTAGTGTTAACAGTAGGTATCTGTTCCATTTCTGTGTCAATTTGCAATTATAATTCAGTGTCCAGTTTCATCATTCTTCATATGGATACCAGTTGTCCCAGCAACACTGAAAAGACTCTTCTTTCCATATTGAGATGTTTTGGCACCCTTGTCAAAAATCAACTGACCATAAATGTGAGGATTTACTTTTTAAAAAAATTTTATTTTAAAGATGAAAGAATGAAAATATATTAACAGACACCCAGACACTGACAAAATAACACAAAAACAATACCAGCAATACAGAATTTCAGATAAGGGGATAGGAAATTAACAATGGTTGTTGTATTACATATTGATATCTTCAAATTGGTTACTCAGATAAATATAGGCATGTAAGATTGATCAAACAGTTAAACATTAACTGTTCCTTTCAATAAAGTAATAGAAATTAGTAGTACAACTATCTTAGCTATCCTGTGTACACATATGTACATATTTTTCCCTTCTTTCTTTTCTATTTTTCTGCATCCCAGTTGTTCTTTCCTTTTAAGTAGTTTCTTTGCCTTTCACAGAATCTGTTGTACCTTTTAGATTTTATTCACTCTTTCAGGTTCTTACACTAGTGAATACAGTGTTTACACAAGCAGGTCTGATTAATTTCACTTATGAATATTGTCTCTAGTTGTGACCATTTACCTATAAAAGCCTCGAGTTTATCTTTTTAAATAGCTGAGTAATACTCCATTGTATAAAAATACCACAACTTTTTTATCCACCCCCAGTTGATCGGCATTTGGGTTGTTTCCACGATTTAGCTATTACAAATTGTGCTGCTATAAACATGGGTGCACATGTTTTGTGCACCATATTGCTATGGTATGTTGTTTTCATTTCTTCTGGGAAGATACTCAGAAGACAAGTAGCTGGGTTGAATGGAATCTCTAATCCTAGTTTTTTGAGGAATCTCCACACTGATTTCCACACTGGTTGCACAAATCTACACTGCCATCAACAGTGGAGAAGGGTTCCTTTTTCCCTACAGCCCCACCAGCATTTGTTACTGGTTGATTTCTTGATGATAGCCATTCTTTCCTACGTGAGATGGAATCTCAGTTCATTTTAAT